CCCCAAAACCCCAAAACCCCAAAACCCCTTGATTACTATAATCAGCTAAATTAGAAGTTTTTTGAATACTAAGAATAATATATTTCATAATGTCTCAAATAAAGCTATAATCTTCAGTTAAGACTTTAACACCTGCTCTAAAGAATTCATAAAAATATATCAGCTAGCACGATAAGCATGTTACACTTCCAGATGGAATTAATTCAAGAAAATCATCACTAATCCCATTAAATCAATAGCCTGAGTTTGAGATTATCAACCAAGGAAAACTAGAAAATGTGAAAATGTTTAGTGATGAAGCAAGTTCTTCAAGAATTGAGAATAACATGTCAAGTAATAGAGAAAGTCCCCAAAATCAAAAATTTAAGCAAAAGAAACAGAGTTACTTAGACTTTTATGATGACCATTCGAATTAAGAAAATAATAGATATTAATCGAATACATATTTCATTAACAACAAAAATCATCTTAATGATAAGGATTACTTGAATCAAGATCTTGGTAATAATTACAGGACAGAATTACAAACTAATACAAAAATGAATGATCTGAGTAAAATCCCATCTTATGTCAAGGTAAAGCATCATTTTAGGATGAAGAATCAGAAAAATCTTTTGGGGAGGAAGTCATTACAGAATAATAAAAATATTCTAGCTTAGAGGTAAGCATCAGAAAATAAGAGAATTTCAAATTAGAAATATTAATAATCGAAAACTTTCAACATGTATGTGCCAACTCTTGGCTTTATATAAACTGAAAATATTAATAGCGATGATCAAATGTCCTCTCTTGATAGAAGTTAAACCTCAAAAGGGCTAAAATCTTCCCTTGTTTCACGGATTAATTACAAATCACCAGAAAATTATGTAAAATCTAATACTAGTAGCAATGGTAGTCCATTTAATTCAAATAACTTCATAAATAATCTAAGTAGCCTGAATAATAACAGCTCTAAGTAGGGTTTAGCTACTTAGTAAGACATCATGCAAACAAGGAAATCTCTATAGAAGTTCAGAACTGTAAAATATCAGCATCCAAGCCTGAATAAAACTGATCTGGAATACCTTAAAGAGGAATCAAAAGAATATGAAAGAGATGATAATTTTAACAATCGTTAATAGCATCCATCAAGTAACCTTAAATATTAAGATCTCATCAATAAAAGGACGAGATATTCTAATCTTTCTATAGCTAATAATAACAGAAAGGAGCAAACAAGAACTGAAGAGTACAAAGTAAATGGTGGAGATGTTGATTAAATGGGATAGAATAAAAAAAGGCCGAATTCTAGTAATCCTTATGGTATGATGGCAAAAAAGCTAAATTAAAGAAGACTGAGGCAACAGTTTTTAAATTAGCCTTCAGGCACTAGTATATTTAAAGACCAATTTTTTGCCATATAATAGCCAGTTCTTAATTACTCCTCACTAAATAATAGAATTGTAATCGAAAATAATTCAAACTCAAATAATTATTAAAATTCCGATTTAAGATCTCAGCAAGTTTCAATGGGGGAGAGATTAATTTAGATCATCAAGGATTAGAATCGTATCCCTGATGTTTAAATTACCTATGATAAACCTCATCCTGCAGTAAACAGATTAATGAGTATATCAGACACATAAGGAATTACTCTAAGTGGTTAGAGTATACTTCAACCAGTATTAGCCATGAGTTAGGATTAGTTTAAAGAGAATTAAGATGAAAATTCAAATAATGAGAAGTTTTCAGGCTAAGAAATTCTTATTGATAGTCTTATTGGTGGAGGTCTTAATATGAAGGAACTTTAGCAATTGAATCATCTCAGTTAGATGCTACCTCGTAAATCAGTGCTTTAAAATGTAAAGCAAAACATGAGTTTAACTGATAAAGTATTAAAGAAGATCCAGAATAATTACAAGCCATCTAATATATTTAAGCATTTTGATATTGAGAAAGAATCCAAGGAAAACATTCAATCAATTAAAAATCAGATTAAGGATGATTCAATCTATCTCAATCTCTCCAAAGTCTCAACTAGTCAGAAAGATCAAACTAATTTCATTAATCAAGTCTCAACTCTCTTTGATAACCCTACATTTTATTAAAAACTTTGTGATTAAACTGATAGATTAATGCATGAGTAATCTCAGTTAAAATCAACAAGAGATGCTGTTAAATCAAGCTATACTAATAAGTTGAAGTCAACCATTCAACAGCATCGCAAAAATGATTCTAAGTCAAATACCAATATAGGCCTATCGAATGCAGCAACTATTTAAACCACTGTGAATGATAACTATGTGGATGAAAATAGCAAGATGATGAACAAGGTAAAGTCTATGGATTAGGAAATACTGCAGCTAAAATATTCTAGATATCTTAAGGAAGTTGATGAGCTAAATGCCCTCAAAGACTATTTAGCTTAGAGAAAAAATGATTTAGATATTGTAGCTAAGTAAAAAATTGTTGATATAATAGTTTCAAAGTAAAGTGAATTGAAAACTCGAGAAAAAACTTTTCAATAGCAAACAATGGCAGTTGCTAATTCAGATTTATTGTGACTAATTTAGAACTATTAAAATGATTTCATAATTTATATTCACCTGATTGAAAATTTAATTTGGTGAGCGGGGTTTTGGGGTTTTGGGG